CGCGTTCCACTACTCGCAGAGTAACCACTCGCAAATGGCCCGGATCCCCCGCGGGGGATCCGCGATAAACTACATCCAACAAGACATGTGCTCTTCGGACGTGTGCGAGTCGTGGAACGCGCTCGGTGATCAGCTACCGGCCCCGAGCAGACGTCCACACCGGCGCGACAGTGCCGGCCCTGCCTGCGGGACCCCCGGGCCAGCAGCGCCTGGATGGGGAAGCAGCCAGCCCCGGCGGCTGGCCCGCCGTCCCCCGTCGCGGGCGAGACAGCCGCTGACGCTCCGCAGAAGGGCGCCCGCACCCCCAACCCCAAACGTTGGGTCGAGGGACGCACAGAGAGATACGAATGCTAGATGTCCTCCTTGGACGCGTGCGTCCGACCCGAACATCTAGCAGACCCATCTTGTACTACATCGTTTCCCGATCGGCGTGGCCAGAAAGCGCCCGCCACGACGCATATACTGCAAGATTTCTCGGTGCGCGCGTCGCCCCTGGGGGGGCGACGCACACATAGTATTTGTATGTTGGGGTGACGCCAATGTCGCTCCCATCGCACTTAAGGATCACACCCCAGAAATGAGTTCGAGCACCCAGAAAAATGTCGAGCGAGTTTCGCCTCCCAGGGCCCAACACGTGAAAGTCCAACAGTTTCGGCACTGTCCTGGTGCTCGACATACTGTCTATTGATCAAGCTACAGGAAGTTGGAACCTCATAACCCAAACGCGGGTGACGGGTCCCCTCTGGGTGCGGCGGCGGCCGACAAAGCCAGCGCAGCCCCCGCGATTGCCGAAAGCCCGCCGCCCCGCTCCCACAAGGACGCCGAAGCACCAGCTGTATAGCGGTAGTTCCAAAGCCGGTGCAGCCGGCGCCAGAACCTCCCCTGGACAGCCTCCCAGCAGCCCCCATTTCACGGGCGAAGAACGGTATAAAATGAACTGTTTCGGGGGCGCCTGTCCCAGGGCGGCTGGAAAGTTTATACCCTTACGGTGGCACGCCCGCTAACCCATGGCCACCCAGCAGCCAAGTGCAGAGGCTGCCGGCGCCAGCGCAGACGCCGGCGCGACGCAGCCGCCAACGCGGGCACGTCTCCTGCTGCCTCGCTGCCCCCCGACTACTCGACGAGCCACCACGAGGAAGGCAGCCCATCGGACTCAGAGACTGCCGCCCCCGGCCTTGGCTCGGCTACCCCAGCTGTGCCCAACCCCGAGCCCCAGGGCCAGGTCGCGGCGAACCCGACACGAACGAGCAGGACTCACACCCGCACGCCCGATCCAGGTGAATCGGCAGCACTCCGGGCTGACGCCCGAGCTCCATGACGGGAACTTTCTCGTGGCACGCGACGATGTCGGCAGTAAACCCCTGGCCTGCTTCTCCCTCACCGACGAACAAGGGGAGCCACTTGGCCAGGACGTCACGCCTGGCGCGCTCGTTGGACCAGTCGCCAGCACCGAGCTCCCTGGACTGGAGGTCTCAGGTGGCAGCAGGCGATTTCTCAGCGCCAGGACTGGAGACGCCTGGACTCCTGGACTACGGTCTGGGACGGAATGGACCACTCACTCCTGGCATGGGTCATCCCAAAGGGCAGCCCAGAAGGCAAGGACGCCGCCCTAACCCTGGCTCCCTAACCGGGGTCGGGGACCCAGCCCAAGCCCTCGCTCAAGCGCCAGCGCCTGCGCAGGCGGACCGCCAGGCGGCGGCTCCCCCAACGGACCAGACGTGGCGATGGCCGCCCCCTGAGACGGAAGGGTGTGGAAGGCTCTTCGGACACACGCACGGGGACACCCTGGGCATGCCTCCGACGCCACACCCACCCCCAGCTGCTCCGCCTGGGCGGACTACCGTGGGACAGGCGCCTCCTCCTCAGCAGCCAGCACAGCAGACGCAGCCCGCTCGACCACAGCTCAAGGAGGATCCAAGTCCCAGCCCTGCGACGACCAGGGCTACATGGACGAAAACGACCCCAACGACTACCTGCACGCGCGACCCCGCCAGGCCATCAACTGGGATCGGACCTGGAACTACAGAACAGGCGCCTGGGAAGCGTGGCCCGAGGTGGGTGGAACAGCACCCGCGACCAGCGGGACGGAAAGGGCAAATGGAGGGGCACGTGCAACCCTCACGCTTCCTCACCGACTTTGCCTGGTGGCGCTACGACATCCGCCGCCTCTGCTGGGCACGCGACATCCACGTAGATTGGAAAGGGTCTGGCAGCGCCGGCGCCACAGGGACTCCATAGCCCAAGGTCGCGACAGCGCTGGCAAAGGTAAGGGGAAAGGCAGTGGCTGGCAGGAGAAGGGCAAGCGGCACGCCGATCCTACCTGGCCTGAGAATGACCCAGCCTGAGCGCGCGGCCTATAACAGCGCCAGTCCTCTTAGGCCTGGCTCTGACCTTCGCCGCATCCTCCAAGGCCAAGTCAACCTGGACAGCGTCACGGCGTAATCCTCCGATCGCGCGACAGCAACGACTGATCCCACAGTCGCCCCCGCGCCTACCTGGC